AAAAAAAAAAAAAAAAAAGGCATGGATGCAGGGAAGTGTGATTCTTTGAGTGCAGTGGTCTCCCATGGGGGATGTAGGCTCTCCTCCCAATGCTTCCCCTTTTTAGATCCTGTTTCCTCATCTGCTGTGAGCAGTAAGGGAGCCAGGCACAGGGCCTGGTGTGACACTGGGCATACAGAAGTGCCTGCCCTGGGCAGGCTGTGAGTGAGTAGAGCAGGAGTCTTTAAACCTTAGCGTGCTTCAGTATCACCTGGGGGACTTGTTAAAACCCAGATTTCTGGACCCTACCCCAGCTTTTTTTTTTTTTTTTTTTTTTGAGACAGAGTCTCACTTTGTCTCCCTGGGGTTGAGTGCTGGTAGCAGCCCAGCTGATAGCAACCTCAAACTCTTGGGCTCAAGCGATTCTTTTGCTCCACCCTCCCAAGTAGCTGGGACTATAGCTAGCTGTTTTTAGAGATGAGGTCTCACTCTGTCTCAGACCTATCTCAAACTCCTGAGCTCAGGCAATCCACCCTCCTCGGCCTCCCAGAGTACTAGAATTACAGGTGTGAGCCACAGTGCCCAGCGGAGATTTTGCATTTCTAACAAAGTTCCCAGGTGATGCTGTTGCTGCTCGATCAAGGACCATGTGGTGAGAACTACTGAGTTAGAGCATAAATTCTGGAACCAGACAGCCTGGGTTTGAATCCTGGCTCCATTTGTCAGCTGTGTGACCTTAGGCAAGTCACTTACCCTCTCTGGACCTCAGCTTCCTCACCTGCAAAATGGATGTAATTAGCCCTCCCTTCAGTGGAGGCTGAGGATTCAGTGAGATCCACAGGACATGACTCATAATGAGCTGTCCATGTGGGGGGCCACTGTACTGATGGCCTGGCAGAGCACATGTCGTGACTGTCTGTTTCCTCACTTCCAGAGTGCACCCCCACCCCTGTGTCCAAGTGGCCGCACCCCAGACCTGAAGGCCCTACTCAATGTGGTGGACAATGCCCGGAGTTTCATCTACATCGCAGTCATGAACTACCTGCCCACTATGGAGTTCTCCCACCCTCGAAGGTATGGCCAGGTGGTGTATAGGAAGCCACTGCAGGTGGGGAGGAGACAGGAGAGGGAGTAATGGGGCTCAGAAAGTTGGCTGGGAGCCTGGGCACGGGAACATGGGGGAAGGGAAGCCACAGAGAGAGGGAGAAGGTATCTGGACACTCAAGACTGGAGAAAGAGGGATTGTGAGGATGAGGTTTGGGGGCAACAGAGACAAGGATGAGAATATTAGGGTTGGGGGCAGGAATGGGAGACTAGAAGCCTAGGGCAGGGGATGCATGATAAGGGGTTTAGGAGGTAGGAAGTATGGGCTAGAAATAGGATGAGGGCCCTTGGGGGATGGAGGCTAAAAGTATTTGGGTTTAGGGCAGCAGGGTTGGGAGTTTGTGATCTGGGATTAGAAGGACAACAACTGGTCAGTTTGCTGCAGTAGATAAGATGATGGGAGGATTGGGTTTTGGTAAATGTTAGCTGGGAACATGAGACAGGATGTGGGATTTAAGGAGGCAGGAGCACAACTGGGAGCTGGCAATAGGATGGTCCTCCCAGAAGCTAAAACAGTCCCGGGGCAGCTCCTGTGGCTCAAGGAGTAGGGTGCCGGCCTCATATACCAGAGGTGGTGGGTTCAAACCTGGCCCTGGCCAAAAACTGCAAACAAAACAAAACAAAAAAAACCCTGAATATTGGCTCGGCACCTATAGCTCAACCGGCTAGGGCGCCAGCCACGTACACCTAAGGTGGTGGGTTCGAATCCCCAGCCCGGACCCGCCAAACAACAATGACGGCTGCAACCAAAAAATAGCCGGGCGTTGTGGCGGGCGCCTGTGGTCCCAGCTACTTGGGAGGCGGAGGCAGGAGACTCGCTTAAGCCCAGGAGTTGGAGGTTCCTGTGAGCTGTAATGCCACGGCACTCTACCCAGGGGGACAGCTTGAGGCTCTATCTCAAAAAAAAAAAAAAAAAAAAAAAAAGCTAAAACAGTCCCCAGGGTTAGTTCCCTGAAGCTGAGCAAGAAGCCTGTGGATAAAGCTGTCCTCTCTAGCCTGCGCCCACCTCTGGCCCCCAGGTTCTGGCCTGCTGTTGATGATGGGCTGCGACGGGCTACCTATGAGCGGGGTGTCAAGGTGCGGCTGCTCATCAGCTGCTGGGGACACTCTGATCCATCCATGCGCGCCTTCCTGCTCTCCCTGGCTGCCCTGCGGGACAACCACACCCACTCTGACATCCAGGTGGTAAGCACACACCTCAGGCCATCCCTCAGCCCCTATGCTGGGCAGCACTGGGGACACAGCCTTCAGGGGGCTCATGTGTCATCTGACAAGGATGACCCAGGACAAGCCATGCCATGATGAGGAAACCATGGGCCAGAATGGGGGGCCCAGGCAAAGGAGTCAAGTGGGATGGGGGTACCCACAGGAAGCACCTGCTCCAGCCTGAGGGGCCAAGGAAGACTTCTGGGAAAGGGGACATCTGAGATGAGACATCAGGAGTGAATAGGAAGCCATTCTAGAGCAACAGGGTTGCACGCAAGGTGACTAGAGCCTTCATTGACTGAGTAACCCTCTATGGGGCCCTGTTCTGGCCCCAAGGATTCTATGGGAGACAGCATGTCCCCAGCCGGCAGACCTGGTTCCGCACCCACTACCTGACACTGGGGCTCCTCTGATGACCCTTGCATTTCACACTCCTTCCCATGTCCCCTCCCACGCAGAAACTCTTCGTGGTCCCAGCAGATGAGGCCCAAGCTCGGATCCCATATGCCCGAGTGAACCACAACAAGTACATGGTGACTGAACGTGGCACCTACTTTGGTGAGAATCCTGAGCACCTCTGCAAGGACAGGAGGGGGGCCCAGGCACGAGGGCCTGACCACCTTGCCAAGCCCTTACTCTCTGTCCCTCCTCCCCAGGAACCTCCAACTGGTCTGGCAGCTACTTCACAGAGACGGCGGGCACCTCACTGCTGGTGACTCAGAACGGGCGGGGTGGCCTGCGGAGCCAGCTGGAAGCTGTTTTCCTGAGGGACTGGGACTCCCCTTACAGCCATGACCTCGACACCTCAGCTGACAGTGTGGGCAATGCCTGTCGCCTGCTTTGAGGCCCGGTCCAGCGGACAGGCCGAGGCCTGCTGGGCCCCTGCAGACCCAAATGCTGGGTCCTGGTCCCTGTCCCCGTGACCCTGCTTCTGTCTGCCTCTTTGTGGCTCCATAGGCTGTCCCCTGCTCTCCCACCTCTACCTCTGCCCCCACTGGCCTGATGCTGTGGCCCCAGGACCCAGCAGAACTGCGGGAGGGATCAGCCCCCAAAGATGTGGGGGGTGCATGTTGGGCCTGGCCCCCTGGCCCACTCCCCTTTCCAGGACAAAGAGGGCCCAAGGTTATAATAAGTAAATAACTTGTCTGTACAGCCTGTGCCTGACTGAGTAGTGTGACATGGGGTGATAGGGGTAGGAGATGGCTGGCATGGGCCTCCAGTAGGGACATCTTAGTGTGCTGAGCTCTTCAGTGTGCAATCTGTGCAGTCTGGTATGCCCTCAGCATGTGACCAGTGCAGTTTGGCATGTACTGAGCCCTCAGTGAGCTGTGCACATGGGCTGGCATGTATGGAGCATGCAGTGGAGGATGAGGTGGCCTGGCATGGACTGAACACTCATGTAGTCAGCATGGGGTGGCCTGTGCTGCACAGGAAGCATGTTCCTGGGTAGATAGCATGGACTGAAGCCATCGCCCTATCCCCAGAGTGGACTAGCATGTCTGGACACTGGTGTACACATCAAGCGTGTATTTGTGCCTGCCAAGTGAATTTACACTGAGCATATCCCCAGTCAAGAAGTGCGTGCCAAGCCTGTAAACATGTAGGAAGGAGAGGCCCACAGACAATGAGACCCCAGCATTGGGCAAGCTCAGATTAACACATGCTAAAGACATAGACTGTTCTGAGGGTGGATTCTCAATATGCTAAGCACTGAGCATATATTGCAGATGAGTTAGTCTGCTAGGCACTTCCTGTCCCTCTCAGTGTGACAGCAGCCAAGCCTCCAGCCTGAGCCAATGGGGTGCAGCAACTCAGAGCAAAGCCCTGGGTGCCAGCCTGGGACCCCCACTCCAGAGCCAGTCCAGGCCTCCAGCAGTGAGAACAGTCTTGAAGCAGGACTGCCGAACAGTTCTTTATTGAAATAGAGGCAGCAGGGCCGAGGGCGGGCTCAGGGCCAGTGGGGTGCGGTCCCCTTCCTGCTGTATGTCTGGCCGAGGGGCCAAGTGACAGACCCCAACACCCTCCTATGTTTGGGGTGTATGTGCAGCCGTGTGCTGCGGATAGAGGGAGTGGAATTTCTGGATAACTATCTTTCTGTAAGAATAATTTGTGGGTTCAGGGATGGCTCGAGGAGCAGTTCATGTTGGGAGGGATAGCAGCTGAGCTAGCACAGCCCCCAGTGATAGGCAAGGGTGAGATCGCCATCAGTGGTGTCCGCCAACATGCTGCAGAAAGCTGGTGGTCCGGGAAGGACCGTGCGGGTGGGGGTGGCGGGATGGGAGTCCCTGAGCCCGTGGCCCCCTGACACCCTCCAGGGTCCAGTCTGGCTCACTCAGCCATTCTCCAGGACAGCTGCTGGGGTCGAAGAGCTCAGGGCCTGGCCTCTGTGGGGGAGAAGAGAGGGGCGTCAGCCAAGAAGTATTAGTGTGCTCATGTCTACCGAGCCTGTCACGTCTTCCTGAGGTGGGTGAGCTTGTGCCAGGGTCTTATCCAGTGCTGGGCCTTATTGCTTCTTCTAAGTGGATTACTATGCCCTGAGTTATCACAGCTTGAAGGTAGATGAATAAGCCTCATCCTAGCCTGAGGGTATTAATGTGTGCTGAGTCTTATTAAATCTTATATCCTGAGTATGAGTTAGTGCGTGCTGAGCCTCATCATATAGTAAGGATGAGTGTTTGCTGAGCCTTAGATCTTGAGTATGGGTTAATGTGTACTGAGCCTTCGACCCTGAGTATGGGTTATTGAGTGCTAGGCCTTCTCAAATCATTTTTTTTTTCATACAGGCTGTTGCTCTGTCACCCAGGCTAGAGTGCAATGACATCATCATGGCTCACTGCAGCCTCATACCTGAGCTTAAGTCCCTAGCAGCTGGAATTGCAGGCATACACCACCACACCCAGCTAATTTTTCTTATTTTTTCTAGAGACAGGAGTTTGCTTCCTCCTAGGAACCAAATCCAGACTGGTTTTGAACTCCTGGCCTCAGGTGATCCTCCCACCTTGACCTCCCAAAGTGCTGAAATTATAGGCGTGAGCCACCACACCCAGCCCTTTTCAAATCTTATATGCTAAGTATGGGTTAGTGTGTGCTGAGCCTTATCACATCCTGAGGGTGTGTTAGTATAACCCTGAGCCACTTGCAGTCAATACAAACATGGGAGGCAAGGCCTGGTTAACTGTGTCCCTGGAGAAAACTCTGGGAGATCCCAGAAACACCTACACGCTGCCCACACATCTGGCTTACCTCAGCATCCATGGACATGTCCTTGATGTTGGGTCCATCCCCATCCCGCTTTGGGATGGCCGGTGGCTCAGCAGAGGCCCCGCGACGCTCTCCATCCTCCCAGCCTGTGCGACGGCAGGGCCCATCATCCTCAGGAGAGGCCTGGCTCAGCCGGATGAGGTTGCTAAAGTTGGAGTCAGACTTGGAACTTGCAGGTAGCTTGCGGGCCTTGTGGCGTCCTACCAGGCGACTACCATAGAAAGCCAGGATGGGCTCAGGCCCTGAATCTGGCACCCGGCGGCCAATGACAGCTGCCTTAAGTGGGGTCAGCATGTCGGAGACCACATCGGTGCGGGTCTCCCCCCACAATCCCCGGCCTGCCTCCTGCAGACTCAGGTCATCCAGCTGGTCGATGGTCCTCTGCACACCTGGTGCCTTCTCCTCTCGGAAAAAGGACCCATTGCCCGCCACGCTGCCCATGCCCACCGCCTCCTCCTCCTCAGCTAGGCGATAGTAGGGGGGCCCGTCTTCTGTGGCGGACACAACAGGTTTGCCCTCCACCTGCAGTGAGAGGCGGTAGCCACGCAGTGAGAGCTGGTAGTAGCGGGTGGTCTCGTGGGCACTGCGCAGCTGCTGCATGGACACGAAGGGATGGCGCAAGGCTGCACTGGGGCTGATGCGTTCGTGCGACTCCCAGGTCAGCATGCGCTTGATCAGCTCCACCATGCTCTTGAGGTCCGCATGCTCAGCCAGAGCCTCTCGGTCCGGGAAGCTCAGCCGACTGGCTGCCCCACCACCGTTCACTGTCTCAATCTGGTCCAGTGACTTGAGCATGTACTTGCGGCGCTCCAGTGGACGCACCTGGGGGGGTGGCATAGGGAACACAGGGCTGACACATATCCAGGACTATGGCTCTCGGCACTCCTGCTGGGGGACCCACATACGACCCCTGACTTCCGGGTCTGCCAGTATCTGCCTTGGAGCTCTCCTGCTCCTGGGAAGGCCAAACCTGATCCTCACAGCAGAGCCTGTCACTCTATCCCAGAAAGTTCCACACCTTGCCCCAGACCTCCGGTCCTGTCCAGCACCATGGGGACAGCCCCTGCTGGTTGCTAACACACAGGATGTCCTATACCTCTAGTCCTCTCTGGAACCAAATACAGTTCCCTCTTACTGCTATAACCTTCCCTGTGGTCAAACCCAGACTTTTCTTTTTATATTCATTTGATACCCCTACCCAGGGAGCTGTCAGAGGAGCTGCCATAAACTTTCAGTCCTACCTTTGGCCTCACACAGATCCTGTTTTTAGTTTTTTCTTTTTCTTTTTTTTTTTTTTTGAGACAGAGTCTCACTCTGTTGCCCTGGGTAGAGTGCCATGGCATCAGAGCTGACAGCAATGTTAAACTCTTGGGCTTAAGCTTCCCGAGTAGCTGGGATTGATTTTTTTTTTTGAGATAGTCTGACTCTGTCACTGTGGTGAGAGCACAGTGACATCATCATAGCTCATACTCCTGGGCTTAACTGATTGATACTCCTACCTCCTTACAAGTAGCTGGGAATAGAGCCATGCACTGCCACACCTGGCTAGTTTTTTATTTTTAGTAGAGGTGAGGTCTCACTCTTACTCAGGCTGGTCTTGAAATCCTATGCCCAAGTGATCCTCCTGCCTTGGCCTCCCAGTATACTAGGATTACAGGTGTGAGCCACTACGTCCTGCTTAGATTTTTCTTGATATAGCAGCCCCAACACTAACTTCCCTCCTCCCACCTGCCCTCCTACCTTGGTCTCAGCCAGGTAGTCAGCTGAGGACTTGAGCTGCCAAAGGTTGGTGGCGTCAGGGTGGGGGTTGCGCTTAAAGAAGTGGTGGGCCTTGCGGGCAGCATGCAGCAGATGTGGCTTGGGCAGGCCCTGGGTCTCACAGATGTAGCGCACCTGGTCATACTCATTGTTGCCTGGGTAGAGGGGCCATCCCAGGTGCAGCTCGGCCATGACGCAGCCCAAGGACCACACATCCACCTTCTCACAGAAGGGCAGCCCAAGCAGGATCTCAGGGGCCCGGTAGAAACGCGACTGGATGTAAGGCTCCTTCACGTAGCGCACCTCACTAAAGATGCTGGCGGAGCCAAAGTCAATCACCTGTTGGGGACAGGGAAGAGGGTGAGAGGACAGGTCGAGCTGCAGGGACAGCCAGTCAGGGGTTCACCTGGTATCTTCCTGCACCTGTCATTATACTCTGCCTGCCTCTGTGTCCTTGATTCTTTCTCTTGTTTTTGTCTCTATCTCTGTCTCTACCAGGCTCTGTCTCTGGTTTGTATGTGCCTCTCTCTGCCTCTGTTGCTCTCCACCAGAACCTATACCTATGAGGGGCAAGACCCCTCTTTTTCTCTCACCCCACACCTTGTCCATCAGCAAATCTTGTTGGCTCCATCTTGTAAACAGACACAGAATCTCTCCCCACCACGCCCACTCTGATCCTCTCCCTGTCATCTCCCACCTAGACTAATGCAGGGGCGTCCTCCCTGCTGCTCCCAAGTGCGGTCTGTCCCTCACATGTATTCAAAGGGATCCGGTGGCTGCCTCACCAGATCACATCCCTTCCCTGCTCACATCCACATCCTGTGATAAAAGATGTTCTCAGTGGGGCCCACAAGGCTCTAACAATTTGCCCCTGTCACCTCCCCGCCTCTCCTTCTCCTACTCTGCCCTCACTCGCCCTCTTACAGCCCCCGCCAGCCTCTTCACTTTTCCTTACATGTGCCAGACACATTCTTACACTGGAGTGCTTGTCTCCCACATGTCCCCACGATACCTCCCTCACCTCCTTCAGGTCTTTTTGTTTGTTTGTTTGTTTGTTTGAGACAGAGCCTCAAGCTATCCCCCTGGGTAGAGTGCACTGGCATCACAGCTCACAGCAACCTCCAACTCCTGGGCTCAAACAAGTCTCCTGCCTCAGCCTCCCAAGTAACTGGGACCACAGGTGCCCACCACAACGCCCAGCTATTTTTTGGTTGCAGCCGTCATTGTTGTTTTTGTGGGCCCGGGTTGGATTCAAACCTGCCACCTTAGGTGTATATGGCTGGTGCCTTTTAGGTGTATGTGGCTCTCGCCTTTTAGGTGTTATGTGGCTGGCGCCTTAGCCACTTGAGCCTCAGGCACCGAGCCACCTCCTTCAGGTCTTTACTCAAACTTCAGCTTCTCTGTTGAAAGAGAAGGACGGGGGAAAAGTAAAAAAAACCAAACCAACAAACAAACAAAAAAACCCTCAGCTTCTCAGTTATGCCTCCCTGACAATCCTGTCAAAGGCGAGGAGCCCCCTTTTCTCATCCCCTCCACTCTCTCTACTTCTTGCCATTGTTCTTAATACCATTTCACATCATGTGTATTTTACATTTTTTTTTGAGTTCATTGCTTCTTTCTGCAACTAGGATGTCAGTCCCACAAGAGCAGGGATTTGTCTGTTTTGCTCAATGCTGCATCTCTAGATGCCCCAGAACAATGCCTGGCACACAGTAGGGGCTCAATAAAGAATGAATAATAAATGAGGCTGGGTGCGGTGGTTCACAACTGTAATCATAGCACATTGGGAGGCCGAGGCAGGTGGACTGCTTGAGCTGAGGAGTTTGAGACCAGACTGACCAAGAGTGAGACCCCCATCTCTACAAAAAAAAATGAAATAAAGAAAAGCTGGCCAGGCACTGTGGCAGGTGCTTGATGTCCCAGTTACTCAGGAGGCTGCAGCAGGAGGATCTCTTGAGCTCATGAGTTTTAGGTTGCTGTGAGCTATGATGATGCCACAGCACTCTACTCTAGCCAGGCCTACAGAGTAAGACTCTGTCTCCAAAAGAAAAAGGAATGAATGAATGAGTGAATTGGCTTTGGCTTTAGATCCCTGTTCTTTCTTTGCAAATGCCTCTTCCTTGCTTGCCTGTCTCTGGTATCTCAGTGTCTCCCCACTGCTTTATCTTTCCTCCTTCTCACTCACATACTGTATTTGACTCATTTATCTTGGTGACTTTGTCTCTCCCCCTACCTGTCAGCCCCACAGGACAGGATTGGGCCAGAGCAACCTCAGGCCAGTGGTAGAGAGAACCTCAAAATTGGGGTGACGTGATGGGGAGGAATTGGGGGCCAGGAGCAAGGCAGAGACATCACAGACAGGATAGGTGAGATCTCAGAGCTGGGAGGTGGGACAAGAGAGATCTCAGTGTCAGAAGAGTGCCCAGAGCTGGGAGAAGCTTGCCCCTGGGCAGCCCCACTCACCTTGACTCTGAAGGGGCAGCGGGTCTGGTCCACCAGCATGATGTTCTCAGGCTTTAGGTCTGCGTGGATGATGGCTAGCTCCTTGAGCCGGGCCAGGGCTCTGAGCACCTGGAGAGTGACCGTGCGGATGTGACGGGCAGGAAGGGGCGCAAAGTTGTTCTCCTTCTGGAACTCAAAAAGGTTTTGCTCCAGCAGCTCGAAGACCAGGTAGAACTTGAGGGCATCATGGAAGAACTCAAGGAAGCGGATGATGTGGGCCTCCTCCGGGTCCAGGCCCCGCATGCAGCGCAGCAGCTTCAGCTCGTTCTTGATGATGCGATTGCGGTAGGCATCGTTCTTGAGGATCTTGATGGCCACCATCTCTCCCGTGCTTCGCCGCCACCCCTTGGCGACCTCCCCAAATGTGCCCTTGCCCAGCACCTCAATGATGTCGTAACAGTCAGTCTCCGATTGAATGGTGGCCATGGTACCCCTGTTGCCACAAACCAACCTGCAGAGACCCCCGCACCACAGGCTCTGCCGCCGTCTAGGCCTCCTGCCTCGCCGCCGCCTCTGGCCCCGCAGACCCCCCAATGGGGGAAAGAGAACTGCACTTGTGCCCCCTCCGATAAGGCTGGCCCCCACCTCCCTGGCACCCCCCCGCCCCTTTGGCCACACTGTGAGTCTGCCAGGGGCTGCACCCCTCCCCCAAAGCCCTCCTGGCTTGGGACAAGGGGCCCCAGGCCCCTCAAATGGGTTCCAGCGTTGCTGAGTGGCTTTGGTTCTGTTGTTGGAGACCTGAGCCCCTGGCTGGAATGGGGGTGGGGTGCCAGGCTAGGCCCCTCCCCCACCCAGTGGTGGAACCCTGGAAAGGCCAGACAGGTGAAAGGTTGACAGCCAGGACCCTGAGCATAGAGGAATGCAGATACACCTACAGACAGAGGTCAGGAAACGCATTTTCGAGCTAGAGGGATATAGTGTATGTGTGTGCATATCTGTGTTCAGAAAACGCTTGTCCCAGACTGTGGCTGCCATAGGCCAGGTTGTAAAAGGCCCTGAATGCCAACCTAAGGAGTTTGGGGTGATGCCCCCAGCTTGGGAAGGAGTCTGGGGCATGGCCCAGGTGGGAGAGGTTGGGGAAGGAAGTAGGAGGTTAGGAGATGAGACACTCAGAAGGCCAAGAGGACAGGCTAGGACATGGATCAGCTAGGGGGCAGTAAGGAAGCTGTCCAGGACCAGGCCAGGGATCTGGCATGAGGGCACAGTCCCTGAGAAGGGGACATAAACAAGGAACAGTTGGGGGAAAAGATGCTGAGGTCAGATTATGCAATTTAACATCAAAACATTTAAACGCATATTAAGTGCTTCAGAAATCTTATCTGGTCTTTATAACATAGGAAGCAGGAATGTTATGGAAGAGAAAATCAAGGCACATAGTCTTAAAAGTGCCCAAGGTCACCCAGCTGGGTGCCAGAGACAGGCTTTGATGCTGAGCAGTGAGGCTCTATGCTGAACACTGAGCCACCACCCACACAGCATCTAGTGCCTGGAGATGTCCAGTGGAGGCATGCAGAGCCGCTGGGGACGCAAGATAGAGTCTGGGAGTTGTCAGTACAAAGATGAGGTGTGGAAACCACAGTGAAGGGTAACACAGCCCAGGCAGGCTGTGGGGATGGGTGAGGAACCCTGAGGGCCCAAGGAGAACCAGGAGAAAGAAGTATGGAGAAAAGAGAGAAGAGGATGAAAGGGCCCTGAGAAGTCAGGTCAGGGAGACAGAGAAAACTCTCAAGTGTGGCCAGCCAACACTGATAGGACAGGTGAGGTGGGGGGGGAAATCCCAAATGCTGGGAGGCTGAGCAGGGGGCAAGCACTGAGTGCTCCTGCTATGGCTATTAGGAATGATAAAGCAGTGACCCGAGGGGGACAGCTGGGAGGAAGAGGGTGCCCTAGTGGGTAAGGAAACAGGCAGGGGCCCTCACCCTCTGAGACAGGGCAGGGGATATGTGAACAGAGTGGAGAGCCATTGGGGGAGACTTAAAACTGGACAGCAAAGCTTCTTAGTCCAGTGTAGGGAGTCATCAGAAGACATAGAAGAGTCCAGAGGCCAGGTGGCAGCCTAGCAGCTTAGATCCTGAGTGGGGCTAGGGCAGGGGATGGGTGTCCCATGGTTCCTGGGAGCTGAGACCCAGTCCTGACAGGTGTTAAGGACTCTGGGACATAGTCCAAAGAGGCAGCCAAGCGTTTGGTGTGAAGACATTAAACCCACAGTCCAGAAGAGAACAGGAGGAGCCTTGTGGGTGGGGCCAGGGCCGATAGGGCTGTCAAACCTGATGGACAGGAAAGGGAAGGCAGGGATGTAAGAGGTGTCCTTCCTGGGGTAGGTAGCAGTTGTCCGGATGGGAGTAGGATCCCTAGCAGAGGGGTTCCCCGCCCCCATGCTTGGGGAGGAAAATCTTCCCAGAGTCCTCCTCCAGGGTTCCTGAGAGTTCTGAAGTTGTAAGGCAGGCCCCTTCTCCCACAGGGGCCTACCCCAGGACCCCCAACTCTTCTCAGACTAGGGGTGACTGTTTCTCCCCTCTCAGCAGAGGTTCCCATCAGACCAGGCTCAAGTGACCCCTAGAACATCCTCTTTGGAGACTCCCTTTCTCTGCACCCCCCACTTCCCCGCAAAAGAGGAGACCCAACACATGGCTACCTCTGGATTATTTTATTCACATGCCTTGGTATGACACAGGCACTCCTGTGAGGCAGGCAGAGCCTCCCCTCCCCCGCCCCTGCACTGCTCAGGAACCTGCCTCCCAGCCCTCTGGGGTTAGTGCTGGTTATCTCACACACAAAACAGGGGTGGGGGTGAGGGTGGCGGGAAAACAGGAAGGGGGTCTCCACCTGCCCAGGGCCTTCACACAGCAGCAGCCTGAGCCCCTTCCATCCTAGTGGGGCCTGGGGCCCCTGTCTCTGAAAACCCCACACTAGGCAGCCGGACCCTGAAACCACCCTCTTCCTGGTCCCCACTCCCACCCCGGGCCTTGGGGCTTAGGGACACCCTGGGGAAACGGAACTTGGGTGATTTCTCCCCCATAGGGGACTTGGGTGTTGCCTCCCCCTCCTGCCCCCTAGAGACTTTAGAAGGGGTGGCCAGGCCCACACGTGGCAAGCGGACCCGTCCCCGGCCGCGGCGACCCAAGGCCCCTTCCCCACTGCCCTCTTCCTCTTCCTCCTCAGGGCTGGGGGAGCCCTCACCAGTAACTGTCTCACCTTGGCTGAAGCCCACTCGGGGCAGCCTGAGTTTGGGGCTCTTGGCCTTCTCACCTTCCTCAACCCCCTCCTTGGCCCGCACCAGGCCAAACCGGGGCAGCCGCACCTTAAGCTTGTGTCCGGCATCCACTTCTCCCTCTACCACCTGGTACCCAGCGTGGCTGCCCATGGCAGGTGGCGAGAGTTCCACATCAGGCAACGAGAGGTGGAAGGTATGCTCGGCTCCTGGGGGCTGGTCCCCGACCCTCTCTTCCCCAGCTGCAGCTCCGGCCCCCAGCGTGGGCAACTTCAACCTCAGCCCGCCCTCACTTGTGGCCACCTCACCCACCTGTGCCTCCCGGCTCAGCCCCACATCCAGCTCAAGCTGGGGCACTGTCACGGTAGGCATCTTAAAGACGCCTTCACCTACCAAAAGCTCCCCACCTGCTGCCTGAGCTCCAGGCAGAGAGAGGGTCACCTGAGGAACTTGGACCCTATAGCCTGCTGTGCCTTCTGCAGAAGGGACTGTACTCTCAGCCTGCTTGCCGAGAGCACCCGCCTCCCCAAAGCCAGTCAGCTCCACCTGGGGCAGGGAGACGCCCAGTGGAGGCACCCTCAGTACCCCCTCAGGGCCCTCAGTGACCACTTGCCTGGTTGTGGACACCTGCAAGCCTGACAGTCGTATTCCACTAACAGCTGCTGCTCTGTCTGCCCCCACTTCCTCCTGGGCCCCCAGTGTGACCAGCTCCACCTCAGGGATCTTAAGCTGGGCAGCGGTGGACTCGGGCTTTCCCCCCGGGCTGGTGCGCCCACTCTGGACTTCTACTTCCTTCCCCCGAGCCAGCCCAAATGAGGGCATCTTCAGCTTGGGCATCTTTACCTTCCCATCCCAGCCCCAGCCCTTGCCCTCCAACTCAGCTGCCCCCAGCACTAACTCTCCCACCTCAGTGTCCCGGCCTCTGACCCCAAACTTAGGCAGAGCAAACCTAGGCCCCTTGAGCTTGACATCAGCCCCTGCCACCTCCATCTTGCCTGAGGGCAGATGGGCATCCAGGCTGAGCTGCGGGATGGACAGGTCAAGGGCGGGCAGTAGGCCTGACTCTCCCACCCTTTTGGTCTCAGCCTCCGTCACCACCCGAGACTTGGGGAGCGAGATAGTGAACTTGGACACCTTCAGCTTGGTGGCTCGCCCGGCCCCCTCAGCCTCTGCCTTGGCCGCCTTTGGCCCTGAGAGTCCAAACTTGGGCAAGGAGAACTTGGAGGGAGGCTTGACTTTCATCTCCATCATCTCTAGCTGCCCTTCCTCAATTTCCACAGTGGGCAGCTGTGGAGTAACGATCTCAACAGAGGGCACTCGAAAGCCCAGTTCCCCGACCCCTGCTACCACCCCTGGGCCCTCTGCCCGCTCCACCTTGCTCACTTCAGCCACTTGCACCTGCCTCTCCAGACTGAGGGCCCCTGGCAGATCTAGTTCCACTGAGGGCAGTGTGAGAGAGGGAACACCCACACGGGCCTCGGCCCCCACTTCGGGCTGCAGACAGGGAAGTGTCAACAGCTTCCCTGAGACCTCAGCCCCTGCCTCACCTGTCTTGGCTCGTGATGGGGATGCTTCCCTCCCTAGCTTGGGCATGGTCATCTTAGGCATCTTGAAGCCAAATTCCATCCCCTCTGCCTGCTCTGCCCTGGCAGCTTTTAGCTGCACCTCTGGAGCCTTGGACAGCTTCACCTCTGGTGGCTTTGGAAGATGCACATCTGGGACTTTGGGCACTTCCATTTCTGGCAGCCGAATCTCTGACACCTTTGGCAGCTGCACCTCTGGGAGGTGCACATCAGGCACCGCCACTTCAGGCACCTTGGGGAGTTTTATCTCCGGAAGCTTCACGTCAGGGACTTTTATCTCTGACACCTTTGGCAGCTGCACCTCTGGGAGAGGCACATTGGGCACAACCATCTCAGGCACCTTGGGGAGTTTCATCTCTGAGACCTTTGGCAGCTGCACCTCAGGGAGTCGAACCTCTGGCACAGCCATCTCAGGCATCTTCGGGAGTTTCATCTCTGGAACTTTAGGGAGCTGCAGTTCTGGGAGGTGCACATCAGGCACAGCCATCTCAGGCATCTGCGGGAGTTTCATCTCAGGGAGCTTCATTTCTGCAACTTTCGGGAGCTGCACTTCTGGGAGGTGCACCTCTGGCACAGCCATCTCTGGCACCTTCGGGAGTTTCATTTCAGGAAGTTTCATCTCAGGCACCTTCGGGAGTTTCATCTCAGGGAGCTTTATCTCAGGGGCTTTCATCTCTGGGACTTTCGGCAGCTGCACGTCCGGAAGCTGCACCTCTGGCACAGCCATCTCTGGCACCTTTGGGAGCTTCATCTCTGACACCTTGGGGAGCTGCACTTCTGGGAGTCGAATGTCTGGGAGGGCTGCCTCAGGTACTTTTGGGAGCTTGATATCAGGGGCCTTGGGGAGCTTCACTTCAGGCCCCTTGGGTACCTTGATCTCAGGCCCAGCCACTCCAATGCCAAATGAGGGCATCTTGATGGTAGGCAGCTTCAGCTTGCTCTCAACAACAGCCTC